AGGGTCTCAATCAGATCACTAGGAAGAGTATTGAACCACTTCCTAGGATCGATGACCTCCTGGACATGGTGCAAGGCTGCACAGTGTTCAGCAAAGTCGACCTCAAATCTGGCTACCACCAGATTGAGATGGCAGAGGAGGATGTCTATAAGACAGCCTTCAAGACCAGGTATGGGACTTATGAGTTCCTGGTCATGCCATTTGGACTTTGCAACGCTCCAGGCACCTTCCAGACAGAGATGCACCGCATCTTCAGGCCTTACCTGGACAAGTTTATGGTTGTCTACCTGGATGATATCCTGGAATTCAACCGGACTGCCAGGGAACATTCGGAGCACTTGGCTCTTGTCCTTCAGTCGTTATGTGACAGCCAGTACAAGATCAACAGAGAGAAGTCCTCTTTTGGAGTTCCCTCTGTCATCTATTGGGGTCATGTAATCTCTAGAGATGGTCTGGCTCCTGAAGCAGCCAAGATAGCTGCTATTCAGGAGTGGCCTCAGCCTCAGAAATCCGGTCCTTCATGGGTTTGGCCTCTTACTACAGAAAGTTTGTCAGGAACTTTTCTGCAGTGGCTGCACCCCTGACTAACCTCACAAAGAAGGACATTCCCTTTCTTTGGTCCCTCCACTGTCAGTTGGCCTTCACACGACTCAAGAAGGCCTTGACTCGTGCACCTGTGTTGAAGTTGCCTGACCCCACTCTGCCATTTATCCTGACCATTGACGCAAGTCAGTATGGCATTGGGGCAGTTCTTCAGCAGGATGATGGGAATGGTCTACGACCTGTAGAGTTTACGAGTAAGAAGATCAAGACTCAAAAGCTCCAGGATTCCACCTACGAGAAAGAGTTGTATGCTCTTGTATGTGCCCTGAAGCACTGGAAGCACTTTCTCTTGGGCAGGCACTTCAAGATTTTTTCAGATCACTCCACCCTGCAGTGGATGAAGTCCCAGGGAGAGTTGAATGACAAGTTGGCACGGTACATTCAGTTCATTGACATGTTCGACTTTGAACTGAAACATAAGAAGGGTTGCTACAACAAGGTAGCAGATGCCCTCTCTCGTAGGCCTGACTCTTTTACGCCGATCTCCTCTACTCACTCCTTTGGAGAGGAGACCCGTCAGACCAATGCTCGTCTACTGCCTCAGGACAAGACTTTCGGACCCATTGTCAGGAATCTGCAAGCAGATCCTAATTTTGAACCAGGCTATGCTCTGAGTTCAGACCTGCTGTATACTTGCAGCCGAGGTGAGGAGCGCTTGTGCATTCCCCAGGATCAACGACTCAGGACCCTGCTGATGTCAGAGTGTCATGATGCCCGTGGACATTTCGGGTTCCTAAAGTCTTATGCAGCCCTGTCGCAGCGATTCTTCTGGAAGGAGATGCGGAGTGATATGCTGCGTTATGTGGACACCTGTGAGCTCTGCCAAAGGAATAAGGTCCAGCGTAGACCTCCTTTGGGACTGCTCAAACCCTTACCCATACCTGGTGGCCCTGCTGAATCTGTGTCGATACCCTTCACAGATTTAGGCAAGACCACCCCCCGTGGCATGCGTCAGGTTATGGTCTGCGTGGACAGGTTCTCCAAATACGCAGAGTTCATCCCCTTGCCAGAGGTAGCTAGAGTACCGGCTATGAGAGCAGCCTTCTCTGAGAGGTGGGTCACACACCATGGACCGCCCACCTCTATAGTCAGTGATCGAGACCCCAGATTTTGCAGCGATGAGTGGCAGTCCTACTGTAAGGACTATCTGCACTCACGACTGGACATGACTTCTGGTCATCATCCTGAAGCCAATGGTTTGGCTGAAGTGATGAACCAAGTCTTATTCCAACTGCTGCGTCCTGTCATCTCTCCAGATCAACAGGACTGGGATCTTCACATGGCGAGGGCACAACTCATGTATAACATGTCTGTCCACTCCTCGACAGGGTTCAGTCCGTACCGGTTACACTGGGGATGTGAACCACGACAGCCTCTCGATGACATCATCGACAAGGCTAAGCCTGATCTGACACCAGGCACAGTAGAGTTCACCAGACGTTATCGTCTAGATGTGGAAAGAGCCCGCGCGAACTTGTTCAAAGCCCAAAAGGCTATGATTGAACAAGCTAATCGCCACAGGAGGCCTTCCCCCATCCGCACTGATGACCATGTCTGGGTGGCCAGCTCTGAGCTGTCGAGGGAGGAGGATATCTCCCGCTAGCTGTTGCCACGTTACCTGGGTCCATGGCAGGTCCTAGATACAGTGGACGCTGATCCCTTCAGTCCGTCTTATGTTATCGACGTCCCGCTGCATCTACGCACCTACCCGGTCTTTCATGCATCCAAGTTGTTGCCGTTCACTCCAGCTGATGCATTCCCAGACCGGCCTCGTCAGTTCGGTCCACCAATCCCTGGGAAGGGATATGACATCGACCGGATTGAGGACGAGTGGGGCACAGGCCCCGATCGGCAGTATCTTGTCAGGTTTGCATTCCAGCCTCCTTCTGAGAACAGGTGGTTCTACAAAAGAGATCTGCTCAAGACAGCAAGGTCCATTGTATTGCGATATGAAGCGGCTCAGAAGGGCAACCTTCCTCGCCGTTCACCTCGCCTGCACCCCTAGCTCGGAGGTCCTCGCTCCCGGGGAGGGTAAGCCTGCAATGACTTGCTGAGTTCTACTGCCGAGATTGACTGCGAGGCTGTACGCTAACCGGTAGGGTTAGGTTTGTAATTTTGTTTGGCTGAGGGCTAACCGAGAGACCTGTCTGTAGGGAAATTCGTGAGGGACATATCTGTAAATCTGGGAAAATACAGGCCCAGTACTAACCCGAATTCCTACAGCTACCCTAACTGCCTATAGCAGGCCCGGGCTACCCCTTGGACAGACAGGCCCTAAGCGGCCTATGCTGCTAGACGGTCCTATAGCCTATAGCCGGGTCTGGTAGAGGCCGAGAGGCCGAAACAGCAACGGTACCGGTCGGTCAGTCAGTCCGGTCTAGGTCTAGGTAGTCTATAGATAGGTTAGGCCCATCGGTTCAGGACTTTTGGGCAGT